TTTGTAAAACAAATTTTGAAATTAGTGGAGCATAAAAAAAAGTTTAAAAAATGTTAGCTCTAATTTTTTTTTATTTGAGTGGTGAAAAGTGTGTTATTTAAGGAATAAAAAAAATTAGCTGCGGACTCCTGCGGTCCTAAGAGTTATTTAACTTTTTTGGTGATCACCTTTTGAAAAAATATGGCATATTCGCGAAATGGTTAGAAGCAGATGGTCAAATATGTTATGTATACAATTAAATAAGTTATTGAGGGTCAAATAGGAAGGAGAAATTGGATTCAGAACTTAGTAATAATACAATATTTTACATAAAATATGCAATTAAGTGGTCAAAACGTTATTCGAAGGGTAGATATGGGAGAATTGGTTTTAAAATATAGCTTTTAAATAAATTTTCAGTCAGTTTGAAGATTATACTTATTTATCAGATCATTTGAGACATAATCTTATAATCTTAATTTAGAGGCCGCACATGAATTACCTTTGTGGAAAGTTCATAAAGGTGCTAACAAGTCATGCCAACAAAAAATTAGTAGCAGCCCGAACTTTTGTTAAAGCCGAGTTAAATAAGGATTTTATTTAGTATTTTATATTACAATCCGACCTTGTAATATCCTTAAACAGCCATAAAGTAAAGGCCCGAGATTATAATGTGGATGATACTAAATCGTACATTTGGGAAGACAATATATATATATATATATATATATATACATATCTGATGTGTGTTTTGAAAATGTTGTGAATGATAAAAAAATTATTTATTAGTTATTAAACGATATCAAATATCTTTTATATTATAATAAAAATAACAAAAATAAAACTACTATACTTTATTTAGCTGCATATAACGATTTTATAGTACAGAAAGTTAAATTTTTAGGGACTTTTGGTATGGTAGGTACCTGAAATATGGGCCAACAACTAAATTACAACACCTATTACTGTCTTCGCCCAAATTTGATGTAATTTGGACGAAGATATGAAAATTTTCGTGGAATTTGGATAAATATAAACAATTTAAAGGTCCAAAATGCGGATTTTTCAAGACCTTTTGTATGGGAGGTATATCAAAACTTGGCCCAATCTACCCAGTTTTTGGTCCGTTGCTTTATAGGCATAAGTAAATGTAAATTGCCAATTTTCATTGAATTTAGTTGAATATTAAAGATTTTATAGTCCAAAATAGTAAAGTTTTCAAGACCCTTTGTATGGGAGGTATATCAAATGTTGGTCCGATCTACCCAGTTTTTGGTCAGTTGCTTTATAGGCATAAGTAAATGTAAATTGCCAATTTTTATTGAATTTGTTTGAATATTGAAGATTTTATAGGCCAAAAAGGGTGACATTCTCAAGACCCATTATATGGGAGGTATACCAAATCTTGGTCCGACCTATCTAATTTTTTGTCAGTTGCTTTTTAGGCCAATAATAAGCACGTGTACCAAATTTCATTAACTTACGATAACTCCTTCTATTTTTGGCCGCTGTTTATATGAACTCGCGACATAGTGTGACGTGGCCATGGATCCGTGGAATTCAATTATTGTGTTTAGAACATATCCTCCCTCCCGAACATTCGTTGTTGTCGCCAAAGAAAATGCCTTCTCCCATGTCTAAGAAATGTTCACCTTACAATATTGTTTCGCCTTCTTTGGAAAACCCTTCTCCGGCTTTTGCCAACGTCAAAAAACGAGCATATAAATCGTCGCACCCGTCTTCGGATAAAAAAGTTTCTCAACCACCGATACCTATTACCGTCCAGATAGTAATGTACTCTTCGGAACGGCTGTTGTTAATATTGTTCATAATGGGAAAACTTATCCTACTCGAGCCATTATCGATCCGTCTTCTAAGGTATCTGTTGTTCGGAAAACCCTTCTCCGGCTTTTGCCAACGTCAAACAACGAGCATATAAATCGTCGCACCCGTCTTCGGATAAAAAAGTTGCTCAACCACCGATACCTATTACCGCTTGTGCCACTAAAGTATCAATTTTGCCACTTTTTTTGGGCTTTGATACCTTTGTGCCACTATTTTATTTTGATCCTAAATGAGCCACTTTTTGAATTTTTGTGCCACTTTTTTATACATTGTGCCACCTTTTTTTAAACTACATATATTGTAATCTAAACGCTGCATTTAAAACAATGAAAAGCGTCGTACGCTGTCATTTCCAATTAGCGATATCAAATTTGACTACGAACGCTTTTATATTAAGTGATTGTAAGTGGTTCTCGCATGCTCAAAGTTGTCAACATTGTTGTGTTTGTTTATTTCTATAAGACTTTATTGTTACTGTGGAATTCTTTACTTTTCGTTGGCGGGTAAAAATAAAATATTTAAGACAATCGGTTTCTCTAAATTGTTTGCAATTTTATATGGATAGGTAAGTAAAAATTGTACTAAATATATATAAATTGTATGGCATATTGTGGTTGTTTTCAAATAGGTTTATAGTAAAAACAAAAAAATATGATAAACCAGAGCCATCAACATCGCATAAAAAAAGGGTGGACAGCGAGGTTGAGAGTAGTTCGGAGGCGACAGAAAACTCGGGTACAGAATCGGAAGAAATATCTAATCCAAAGCCAAGGAATTGCAAAAGGAAAAAAATATCTAGGTATTATTGCAAGCAATGGGAGCTGCAATACAAATGGATAAAGAAAGACGAAGAGACTAAACGTCCAATTTGTATTGCCTGCAAACAACTATTAGTTAATCAAAAAACGCATATTATTCGACATGGAAGCACAAAAAAACATATTGAAAATTATAAAAAAGCTATCGAATCGGAGAAAATGCAGTTGACGAGTTTTTTACCACAAAACAATAGCCATTCAGTGAATGTTGCGGTGGCAGAAATTAAGCTGGTACTTCGAATGATTATTAACAATCAGTCATACCGATCAATGGACAAACTTGCCAAATTCAATTCCTCCATTTATCCAGATTCGTCGATAGCAAAATTGGTTTGTATATAATTACCGATATATTGATGAGGTAATAATTTACATCACACATTACAGGTGACCTGCGGGCGCACTAAATCAAAACAAGTTGTTCAGTTCCTAGGGCGGGAAGGTTTTCAGCGTATGATTACTAATATGCAGCGACAAATTTTTAGTCTGATTATCGATGAAACAACTGACATTTCCACCGAGAAATGTTTGGTAATGGTTGTCCGACAGTTTGATCAAGATATCGGCAAGACTCGAGATTCTTTCTTTTTATTAGTGCAGCCACCAGGTGGATCAGGTGAAGATATTTGTAATGTCATTATATCTGCCATAGAACAACATAAAATTCCGTTGAAAAATTTTGTGGGAATTTCCACAGATAATGCGTCCAGTATGGTTGGAAAAAATAGAGGTGTAGCAAACTTGTTAAAAGGAAAAGTACCCAACATTTTTCATATTGGTTGTGTTTGCCATTCCATCAATTTGGTGAATTCTTCATCTCTAAAGTGCATTCCCGATAACGTGGAACAGCTGTTAAGAGACATTTTTAATTACTTTAAAAGTGCAAAGAGGCAATCAGATTATAAGGAACTCCAAAGCATTTTCGATGTACCTGAGCACAAGCTTTTAAGATTAAGTGACACTAGATGGCTTTCTTTCGAATCTGTTTCCAGGCGGGTACTTGAACAGTGGTCTGTACTGCAACACTATTTTATAAAAGAACAATTTGAGACAAAATGTGCAAAGCAATTGAAAAAAATACATTCAATTCAAAATGAGTTATCAATAGTAAATAAGATATATTTACATTTTTTAGTTTATGTTCTTAAAATAATGAACACTCTAAACACCTCTTTTCAAAGCGAGTCTTCTCAAATAATATACCTTTGTTCTATGACAAAAGACATTTTACTTCAACTTTTCAGAAACTTTGTAAAAAAGGAATTCATAATTCTTCCTGAAATTTGGACCATTGATTATAAAAATTGTTTTCACATCAAGGATGTGACGCAAATAATTTTGCCACTTTTTTTGGGCTTTGATACCTTTGTGCCACTATTTTATTTTGATCCTAAATGAGCCACTTTTTGAATTTTTGTGCCACTTTTTTATACATTGTGCCACCTTTTTTTAAACTACATATATTGTAATCTAAACGCTGCATTTAAAACAATGAAAAGCGTCGTACGCTGTCATTTCCAATTAGCGATATCAAATTTGACTACGAACGCTTTTATATTAAGTGATTGTAAGTGGTTCTCGCATGCTCAAAGTTGTCAACATTGTTGTGTTTGTTTATTTCTATAAGACTTTATTGTTACTGTGGAATTCTTTACTTTTCGTTGGCGGGTAAAAATAAAATATTTAAGACAATCGGTTTCTCTAAATTGTTTGCAATTTTATATGGATAGGTAAGTAAAAATTGTACTAAATATATATAAATTGTATGGCATATTGTGGTTGTTTTCAAATAGGTTTATAGTAAAAACAAAAAAATATGATAAACCAGAGCCATCAACATCGCATAAAAAAAGGGTGGACAGCGAGGTTGAGAGTAGTTCGGAGGCGACAGAAAACTCGGGTACAGAATCGGAAGAAATATCTAATCCAAAGCCAAGGAATTGCAAAAGGAAAAAAATATCTAGGTATTATTGCAAGCAATGGGAGCTGCAATACAAATGGATAAAGAAAGACGAAGAGACTAAACGTCCAATTTGTATTGCCTGCAAACAACTATTAGTTAATCAAAAAACGCATATTATTCGACATGGAAGCACAAAAAAACATATTGAAAATTATAAAAAAGCTATCGAATCGGAGAAAATGCAGTTGACGAGTTTTTTACCACAAAACAATAGCCATTCAGTGAATGTTGCGGTGGCAGAAATTAAGCTGGTACTTCGAATGATTATTAACAATCAGTCATACCGATCAATGGACAAACTTGCCAAATTCAATTCCTCCATTTATCCAGATTCGTCGATAGCAAAATTGGTTTGTATATAATTACCGATATATTGATGAGGTAATAATTTACATCACACATTACAGGTGACCTGCGGGCGCACTAAATCAAAACAAGTTGTTCAGTTCCTAGGGCGGGAAGGTTTTCAGCGTATGATTACTAATATGCAGCGACAAATTTTTAGTCTGATTATCGATGAAACAACTGACATTTCCACCGAGAAATGTTTGGTAATGGTTGTCCGACAGTTTGATCAAGATATCGGCAAGACTCGAGATTCTTTCTTTTTATTAGTGCAGCCACCAGGTGGATCAGGTGAAGATATTTGTAATGTCATTATATCTGCCATAGAACAACATAAAATTCCGTTGAAAAATTTTGTGGGAATTTCCACAGATAATGCGTCCAGTATGGTTGGAAAAAATAGAGGTGTAGCAAACTTGTTAAAAGGAAAAGTACCCAACATTTTTCATATTGGTTGTGTTTGCCATTCCATCAATTTGGTGAATTCTTCATCTCTAAAGTGCATTCCCGATAACGTGGAACAGCTGTTAAGAGACATTTTTAATTACTTTAAAAGTGCAAAGAGGCAATCAGATTATAAGGAACTCCAAAGCATTTTCGATGTACCTGAGCACAAGCTTTTAAGATTAAGTGACACTAGATGGCTTTCTTTCGAATCTGTTTCCAGGCGGGTACTTGAACAGTGGTCTGTACTGCAACACTATTTTATAAAAGAACAATTTGAGACAAAATGTGCAAAGCAATTGAAAAAAATACATTCAATTCAAAATGAGTTATCAATAGTAAATAAGATATATTTACATTTTTTAGTTTATGTTCTTAAAATAATGAACACTCTAAACACCTCTTTTCAAAGCGAGTCTTCTCAAATAATATACCTTTGTTCTATGACAAAAGACATTTTACTTCAACTTTTCAGAAACTTTGTAAAAAAGGAATTCATAATTCTTCCTGAAATTTGGACCATTGATTATAAAAATTGTTTTCACATCAAGGATGTGACGCAAATATATATAGGTTATGAGGCGGAAAAATTAATTTCTTCAGAAAATATAGCAGAAGAAAATGTTTCTCTAATTAAAGGCAATATACTTAAATTTTATCAAAATGTGTGTGATCAAATATTGTCAAGAATTGATATTAATAACAAAAGACTGAATATTTTAAGATTCTTAGATCCTCTTCACATTAAATCTAAAGAAGATATAGATTATAAAAGTATAGTGACTGAATATAGTTACGTAATAAGCCATCCAGAAGCTTTTATCTATGAATTAAAGTTATTAGAAAGTAAGTCAAATGATAAATTATATGAAAACTTATTCGCAAAAACGAATATTGAACTTTTTTGGAATGAAGTTGGAAATTTAAAAAACAATCTAAATGAATATCTATACCGTAATGTGTATCAGTTTGTTGTATATGTTTTTACTTTGCCTCACAGCAGCGCTTGTGCTGAACGAGTTTTTTCAAAACTGACGAATATGAAAAATAAATTAACAAATAGGTTGAAAATAGAAACTTGCCACTTCATGTTATCAGCAATTAATTTAGTTGAGTGTGAATTGGAAGATTGGAATCCTAGTAATGATCTCATTCAAAAATATAGAAAAGAAGTCACAAATAAATAATAAAAATTAATGTTATTTTAATAACTTTATTTTATCAAAACATATGATTTAAAATGATATGATTTAATTATTTTTTAATATGCAATATGTACATACATATATTATTACTTTGTCGTATTACATATAGATGAATTAGTTGTTTTGTTCTAAACTGTTATTTTTTTTTTAAATAAAATGTGAAATAAATTGTGTCACTTTCTGTGCCACCATTTTAAATTATATGTGCCACTTTTTTTAAGAAATGATACTTTTTGTGATACTTTTTGAAAAATTATTATAAAGAAAATCGAAAGTCGATCTTGAAAAGTCGAATTTGCGATTTTCTCAAATGTCAAAAGTCGACATCGACTTTTAGACTTTTCAATACGAAAAGTCGATTAATCGATTAGTCGAAAGTCGATTTACTTATCCCTACTGACCAATATAGAAGTCCAAAGCGGTTCCTTTTAGAAGACCAAAAAATCCAATTGGAATTCTATAAGAAATCCAATTGGAATTATATAAGAAATCCAATTGGTATTCCAATTGGTCTTCTTTGACAAAATCATATTGGCCTTCAATAATATTTCCAATTGGCCCTCTGTGATTTTCCAATTGGTTTTCTATTATATTTCCCATTGGTCTTCTATGAGATTAACAACTGATCAAATATAAGATTTCGAATTGGTCTGATGATATAAGAAGTCCAATTGCTCCTAAATAAGAACTCTTCTATAAACATTCCAAATTCGTTTTCGACTAAAAGAATACGAATATATGAACACCTGTTTGTATCAAATAAGAATTCCACTGAATCTTCTAATTGGTCCTCCGATTGGTTTTCTATGAGATTTTCACTTGATCTTCCAACTGGTCTTCTGATTGGTATTCTTTGAGAATTTCAATTGATTTTCTATGAAAACTCCAATTAGTCTTCTATGAGAAGTCCAATTGATATTTTATGAGAAGTCCAAATAATCTTCTATGACAAGTCCAATTGATCTTCAATGAAATTTCCAATTCGTATTCTTTAATCGGTTTTCTATGAAAAGTCCAATTGGTCTTCTATGAAAAGTCCAACTGGTCCTTTATGATAAGTCCAATTGGTCTTCTATGTGAAATTGATCTTTTATGTGAAATTCGATTACTATTCTATGAAAATTCCAATTGGTCTTCTATGAGAAGCCCTATTGGTGTTCTCTGAGAAGTCCAATTGGTATTCTTTCAGAAGAAAATTCCAATTGGTCTTCTATGAAAAGCCCTATTGGTGTTCTCTGAGAAGTTTCATTGATCTTCTATGAGAAGTCCAATTGGTGTTCTTTCAGAAGCCCTATTGGTATTCAATGATATTTCCAATTGGTCTTTTGTAATTTTCCAACTGTTCTTCTACTTGAAATTCAATTGGTCATATAAAGTCCTAAAAAAGGTGTCCAATTGGTCTGTGTATGACAAAAGTCAAATTGGTCTTCTTTGAGAAGACCAAATGTTCTACTAGAAATCTAATTGGTATTCTACGAAAAGAAGTCCAATTGATCTGTTATGAGAGGCCTAATTGGTGTTCTATGAGAAATCGAATTGGTTCTCTATGAGAAAACGAATTAATTTTCTATGAGACTTCCAATTGGTCTTTCATGAAAAGTACAATTGGTTTTCTATGAGAAGTCCATTTGATATTTTCTAAAATGTTCTATAGAGAAGTCCAATTGGTCTTTTTTGGAAAGTAAACATTCCAAATTCGTTTTCGACTAAAAGAATAAGAATATATGAACCCCTGTTTGTATCAAATAAGAATTCCACATGATCTTCTAATTGATCTTCCGATTGGTTTTCTATGAGAATTCCACTTGATCTTCCAACTGGTCTTCTGATTGGTATTCTTTGAGAATTCCAATTGGTTTTCTATGAAAAGTCCAATTGGTCTTCTATGAGACGTCCAATTGGTCTTCTATGAGAATCCCATTTGCTATTTTATGAAAAATGGCCTTTTATGTAAAGTCCGATTAGTTTTCTATGAAAAGTCCAATTGGTCTTCTGTAAGAACTTCAATTGGTTTTCTATGAGAATTCCAATTGGTCTTTGTGATTTTTTATGAGAAGTCCAATTCTATATGGAGTCCAATTGGTCTTCTATGATAAGTCCAATTTGCCCTCTATGAGAAGTCCAATTGATCTTATCTGAGAAGTTCAATTGGTGTTCTATGAAAAGTCCAATTGGTCTCCTATAAGAAGTCCAATTAGACCTCTATGAGAAATCCATTTGCCCTCTATGAGAAGTCCAATTGATCTTATCTGAGAAGTTCAATTGGTATTCTATGAAAAATCCAATTGGTTTTCTTTATTTTTTATAAGAAGTCCAATTGGTCTCCTATAAGAAGTCCACTTAGTCCTTTATGAGAATTTTCAGATAGGATCAGAAAATTTCAATTGGTCTTCTAGATTTTTTATGAGAAGTCCAATTAGTATTCTATGTAGTCCAATTTGTATCCTATGAGAAGACCAACTAGTATTCTATGAGATGTTCAATTGGTTTTCTTGATTTTTTATGAGAAGTCCAATTGGTTTCTATGAAAAGTCCAATTAATCTTCTCTGAGAAGTCCAATTGGTCTTCTATGGAAAGTCCAATTGGTCTTATTGATTTGTGGTCTTTTTTGAGTCCAATTGAACTTCTATAAGAAGTTCAATTGATTTTCTCTGGAAAGTCCAATTGGTATTCTTGAAATTTTTATGAGAAGTTCAAGTGGTCTTCTTTATTTTTTTATGAGAGGTCTAATTGGTCCTAATGATTTTTTTGAGAAGTTTAATTGGTCTTAATGATTTTTTTGAGAAGGCCAACTGATTTTCTCTGAAATGTTCAATGTCTTCTAGGAAAAGTCCAATTGGTCTACTTGATTTTTAGAGAGAAATCCAATTAATCTTCTCTAAAAAGTCCCATTGGTCTATGAAAAGTCAAATAGATATTCTATTGACCTTCGATGAGAAGTCTAATTGGAAAATGAAATCCAGAGGTATAATAACACCAATAGAGGTCTTCTGATTGAAAAGGGATCTTATTGAAGAGCTATAGGTATTCATAAATAAAAAAAAATCCTTCTACATACGATCAAAAAGTCTTATTATAGAAGATCGATAGATATCCAAAGGGATGTTCGTCGGGTCTTTTTACAGAAGAAACAATATTCTTGTAGAATATTTTCCAAAAAAGGCATCTCCGTTGGGCGCCAATTTTGAAACAACTAACGAAAACTTCGTATTCAACAAAATTTTTAGAAATATATGTTCTTTACATAAGTTTTAAATAGAGAATACCAATTTGGGTTTCCCGTTTTGAATATAATCACAAATTGAAAAAAAATATCCAGGTTCCACATTGGTCGCCAATTACAAAATCACTAATAAGAATATTGTTGCCAGGTATTGTTTTAATTTTTTAAGGGCAGTATAATCTAAATTCAATAATGAAAATTAACGCAACTGGGAAATTCAGAAGAAAAATGAAAAAAGGAAATAAAAACACAGGACTCACATTGGGCGCCAATTATAAATACCATGGGCGAGAAACATTCGCATGTGAAATGGAAAAAAAATACTTGGTAACTCGTAGATAATATTCACATAAGAAACACTGCGTTGGGCGCCAAATTAAAATACAAATAGGCCATCAAATATGTTGGGCGCCAATAACAAATTTAATGGTAGAAAACGAAGAAACTCTTTACATATTTTTAACCCAAGAAAAAATGGGTCATGAGAAACGAGTTGGTGAGAAGGTATTAATCACTTTGGGCTTGGTGTTGGTATTTTGAGGTATTTTATTCTTCGATAAAGGTTAAGTGGATTTTTTTAATTACTTTTTTCCTTTTTCTTAGCTTAATTTTTCAAAATCGATACAATAGAATTTCAAAAGTAAATTTCCTTTTGTATGCATCCCAATTTCTGTACACTATAACTCCCTTTAATGGCCGACAAACTGTCGAATTCTGATTGACAGCAATTGTCTAAGGAAAGTCTAATAACTATAAGGCCATTGCAAGTGGTCGCAGTGCTGCGAATCGAAATAGAATTGGCTGCAGCAATTTGTTTTTTTTGGCGGACATCAAATACCAACTAACAATAAAGGCAATCGACATTTTAACGTTTGATGACAACTTGACAAGAGATTTTTATTCTTGGAAGGTTGTGTCCAATAAAACCTAGAGACCAAATTTGTTACGGAATGCAATTGCCTTCACCTCATCCTCATCAGCGACGACGCCACAATATCTTGTCATTATTACACGATTTGGCAATGACAGTGGCGCAAAAATACAAAAAAAAATACACATGTTCGCAAGCAAGTGCCACCATCAAGGCAGAGAAACCACAAGCAAAAACATGACAAGCAATAATAATAAAAATGATCAGACAGACACACAAAGTCAAACCCAGAAGCAAAAGTCACATGCTATAAATATGGCTATAAAAATTTACAACAACTTTGCGGAATGTGAGAGAAAAAAAGAAAATAAAATCATACAACCAACAAACTAAGTCAGTCAGTCAGTCTGTCAGTAGTAACAAGGTCGTGATAATAACGGAACACGATTTATGAAAATGTGTAATACTGGTTATAATTGTTAAAAGATTTTTTTTTTTAGGTTTTGTGAATAATTCACAATATAGAGTTCAAATTTGGCGCCCAATGTGGTGTGTGATCATTACGCCCTGTTCTCCTATGTGGATTCTTCCAAGAAATATCATTATTGCATTTATTTGATTATAATCAGAAGAGAAATGGTAAATAGAACAGGTTGCTTTCATTTAATATATAATTGGCGCCCAACGCGAGGAAACTATTTTTCATGTTCAATCATTCGCAAAAAATTAGTAATAAGGCCATGATATATTATTTGGTTATATTGTGATGTGAAAACTGTAAATGACAAGGATTTTTTTTAAATTTAAAACCAACCCACCAACAACCACCCCCCGGTGCAACCGACCAAACCCAACTGCAAGGGGGCTATGCACGAGGACCACCTCCGATAAGTACTGTCCTTCTC